CACTTTTATTTATAAAACAGAGCGTATGCGCACCTAAAGGAGCCATCATATGTGTGTGTGTCACGCTTCGGCACGAATGGGCCCGAGTAATACCACAGCCTCACAAAAAACCGACGTGAAACAACCAAAGCGCTGTTTTTCGCCGTGTAAGGTTACTGAAAGCCCAATCCTTCCCCTCTCCCAATCCCAAAATCTCCAAATCCCTTATCCCCAAGAAGGTCGGCAACACGCTCGTAACTCCTCCGTTGTTGCGGGTGTGCATGGGCGACGCTGATTGCTTACCATCAGGTAATAGGCATGCTGGTATTACCTATTACATAAAAAAATTAAAACTAAGTGTATTATGTTTCTCTTTACTTTTGACTTAAAGTAAATTACTCTAAAACTTGTTTTCTAAGACAAGGATTGGAAGGAGGCAAGGCCTCTTTACGCCTAAGTGGGTCAATTACGGCTCTATAAAATGGTATGGCAAATGTCGAAATCATGAGATAATTTCGAATTTTTCTTTCGAAATATTGTCTGAAAATTGTATATAGCATTGCAGTCATGAAAACCACAGAATTTACCAGAAAATTGAACTCATGATTTCACAAATCAAAATCTCTATATCCAACACAATAGCGCATACCTGTTTGAACTATTATTACATCGTGGTTTCATGACCTTTTGTGCTGGGTCTGGGTGTAATGAAAATATTAAATAAAAAAAATGGCATACATAGATAGGGACATCAGAAACACGCTATATATACATAGGTATCATCAAAAAAACATTATTGTTAATAGGGTTGTCAATAATAAAGCGGGTAAGTGATTTATTGCCTAATTTTTTGTTTGACAATAATAATAAAAGCTATTGTATTTTTTAAACAATGGACGTTCGAAAAAGGTTAATTGATTTCCTGGGTAAGCACTTAGCTCGCGGTGGAATTGGCCAAAAGTTTTTCCTTTGTAATGCTTTTATTAAATCAACGAAGAATATTTTATTCTTTTTTCCCCTTAATTTACTTTGGGGACCTCCTTGTAATTGTTTAAAAAATGTTCAGATACAAAGAGAAATATTGGTTTAGTGGAGAGTTTTGTACTGATACTGAAGAATGTTTTCTTTGTTTTATTTAATTGAATTTTTGGTGATTTAAAAGGACTGCTATATACGTATATTTTTTGTCTAAAATTTTATTAAATAAATCATCACTTTTTTTATAAAATATGGCTACAAAAGAGCAGAATTGATACGGAAATTCCATTATTAATACGGAATCATAGATCTCTCACTTTCAAGACAATATCGTTACATTTAAACTTTTTGATTTCAAGATATAAGCTTAAAGAGATCAGTCATATCCTATGATTGATTTCTAAAAAGTATTCAAACAAGTCAATCGATATTTTTACTCGATTTTATCTATCCTTTATGATATACATAAAAATATAAAACTAAGTATAATCGCGCTCTAAGCAACTCAGATACTTATCTAATTTTACAGCTTATAATAGTTGACCAATTTTTTAAGTTAATAAATTATATAGTAACGTAAAAAAAATATTCCTATACCTATCTATGAAAACCTTGTGTTAGTGACTGATAAATAAAACAATATTTAGGTTGAAATAGAAACAGCGAGTAGAGTAAAGTCTTGCTTGTAATAATAATATAATTTATATAAATACTAGCGGACACCCCCAAAAACCCCTAACACATCAAATTTCAGCGAAATCATTAGGCACCATCTGCCAGACTGATTTGTGAATCTAAACCATTCAGGGCGCCACTCTAACGCATACAAAAAAACAAAACATTTAAATCGATCAAGCTGTTTAAGAGAATTTCAATGACATACACACGTACGTAATTATAGAATAATATTATTATTTATTAAAAAACAGAGCCGAGTAAGATACATCGATATTATGCAAACTTAGAACTATAGGCTTTATAAGGACTTCTTGACTAATTTTTTAATAACAAAAACTTATTTTACGTTTGTCGTTTCGTGTTGAATGTCGAGTGCCTATGACGAGCGCTTGGTACCTACCTACCTTCAATTAAAAACCGATGGATATTCCCGACCATCAAGATCCTCTCGAATTGATTAAAACTGAAGCATAACGACCAATAGGTATCCAATTATTGAAATATAATTAAATTGCTATTGTAAACTTCATGTACCAATGACGATATTAAATTTTATGCCATTATTGCAAGCAGTGATTTTAATTTTGATTACATTTTGACATCGAAAAATTAAGTTTTTTTTTTATTATTAAGATCGTAGAGTTTTATTCTTCGCTAGTATATATAAAATTGTTTTCAATATCTTTCGGTATCGACACCCGAAGATTTTCTTATATTTTCCTCCATTATAAGACCCCAAGACTTGCTAATTTGGGTTCACTCCCAAACTCAAAGACAAGCATTCAACTGTCAGCTTAAGTGCCCACTGCTAAGCAACGGCCTCTTCTCACACGGAGAAGGTTTGAGCATAAATCGCCACGCTTTCTCAAGGCGGATTGGTGATTTCAAACTTTTAATTCGAAATTATAAGATTTATAAGTCTACGATGTTTTCCTTTACTGTATGTCAGTGGTGCCTAAATAATCATAGAAAGTACATGTAACTCAGAAAAGTCTCATTGGTTCTTGCCAGGTTTTAAACCGAACAAACATAGTCGTTTCTGTGGACAAGACGTCTCTTTATCAGACAAGCATCATTATTTGGATGTACAGATACATTTTGACTACGTATTTGATTTTATTAATATCGCATAAATGAACTCACTAAATACTTTTTAGGGGAGCAACAAAAGATTTAAACAATTTGATAATCTAACAATATAGGTGCGCGTTAAATGTTAAACATAACCTCAAAATCCACAAGAAGAAATGAAACACTCCAATGTAGGAACAAAGCGGCATAAAATGATCATATTCATAATTCAATAAAGCAAAATGTGGGTTATAATTTCCCTTGTAAAATAGCTTTACCCGATCCTCATTGTTCCAGCAACATTCGTTCCACGTCGCACGAGTAAGTTAATTGACAGAGAACTAAAGTAGGCAATGTCGAGAATCGAAAATTAATTATGTTTTTTATGTTTATGTCATAGTTCAGAAAACGAGCAGACGGATTACACGATGGTAAGCATTCAGCGCTGCCCTCGTAATTAGTGCGTTGCTACACTCGTAATTAGTGCGTTGACGGCCTCTTGCGTAATAAGGGATTTAAGGATAGGGGATTTGAGGATTGAGGATGAAGGAACGGTGTATTTGTTTCGCGTGTAAGTGATGTTACTGGGGGCCTAATATTTACCCGCAATCCCGCCCCAACCCGTAAATCTCCAAATCTCTAGTCCCCAAAAGATCGGCAACGCACTTGTAACTTCTTTGTTATTGGGTTATCATGTATAAAAATGTGACATTATTAATATTTAAAATAACTAAATAGATTGTTTTCAGTCCTTATTCTGGGTGATTTACTATGGATATAAAACCCAGCTTACCTTTGTTAAAATAATCTTTACATTCTATTAGTTCATTAGGGGTCTTTTTAGACCGACAAATTGCAATCGATAGGTAATCGTCATCGTAATCACATTCGGAAACACATGTTCTAACAAACCTTGTTATATAACCTGATTATAACAAACCTGGAATTGCCATCAAGAAGAGAACAAGGCAAATCATCCTAGGAGCTCTTATGATAAATATTGAAGACTCTCTACAGAAAGAGTACAATATTTCTAATACTTGCTGTTAGCTAGGGAACCATAACCCGATCTGATTGCTTTTCAGATTTAACACTACTTCTGAGGATTCCGAAGTCCAATTCCAACGCCAAGCTCTCAGTAGCTAACTGAAGACAGCTAGGTCAAATAAAATAGAACATGATTGAAAATTTTATAAAGTCATCGTGCTCAACCTTGTCTATCTACGCTGCCATATTTTCCAAGTTAAGCCTCTGTTGACTTCTATAATCGTGGCCTCAATATAGCCGTGACGAGGCGCTTCGGTTAATGACTTTCGGTTTAAATGTGCTGTTTCACGTTGGAACGACAATTAAGCCTGAAATATAGCTATTGTATTGGCATCTATCATATGTAGGCAAAATATTTTATGAACTTTCAAAGTTTTACTATCAATTTTGTCAATGAAATATATTGTGATATTGGTTGGCAAAATTTGTCTTATCCGTTATCTGTTCATATTTTTGTATGTATATATGGAATTTGCTTTGTCTTATGATTTGTTATATCGTTGCAGTCACAGATCAAATAACTTATTCCCGGCTTGGGTGAGAGGCATTTTCAAACATACCTTTTAAAAAAAAGCGTAACAAGGCAGTTTCTTTCTCGTTCTTCTCCATTACTACTATTTGGAACGAGCACCTAGCTTCACTGACGAACAGACTGATAGACTACTATTCTATTTATGGTTTAGTCGGAATAAATGATTTGATTTGATTTTATTTCACTGACGGAATTCCTCCCGTTCCGCTTACACCCGGAACCTGGTTAATTCTTTATACAATTAATAAAATGCCATTGGTAGTGTTATTTACAACCAAATAGAAAGAAATTAACACTTCATCGAGCTTCGATGTTTCAGTTTCCAAACTAGTGACCTTAAATAAGCAGCTAATAATAAATATTTTGTCTCAAAAGATACCACAAAAATAGTCACTTCATGATACACATGAGAGAATCTAATAACACACTGAGTGGGAACGAATAAATATGTCAATCTTATGACGGATATTATGGGTCATATTTGTTTACTATATTGCCACTTTCATCTTGACTTCGAGTCCCGGATTTTCGTAATAAATATTTAAATGAGGTTCTGAGAATTGCCATTCTGAATTAGGATTTATCATCGCGAGTAGATAAAAATATTAAACATATTCATTTTTCTCTTCAAAATAAAACCTTCCAATTAAAGAAGGTTACAAATTATCATCGTAATTATCTTTTACTGGAAAGCCTTCAAAACTGTTTCTTTTCTTTTCAGATCGGAAATTTTCTTCACCAATCAACGGCACTAATGAAGCAATCCGCAAACGGGATATTGGAGTAGCAGCCGCTCGCGCCACCTTCCTCGCGCAATAAAACAACATACCCCTGCTAACTCCATCACAGACCACATTCAAACAAAAACAAACCCTGCCACAACGCCACAACGACCACAATCCCCCAACATCACGTAGTCAAATGGCTCTGCTCCGAATTGAAAATACAATCCAAGCAATATGTCAATTAAAGTGTATTCTCAATTGTAATCAAGCGCGCCATTTTAAGACCAAAAAGCTTCGCGACGAGGTCATATTCCAGACTTGATTCGTAAAGCAAATTTAGATATCGTAACTAAACAAAGGGAGAAACAAAACCAATGTATGGTTACGTCAGGATAACGAACAAATTAATCGTCACCCAAACCAGGGATTCGTATGGCGACTCAAAGTCATAACTCCTACTGTTCACTGCCTAGCTTTGTTGCTTTACCTTCGTGTCTTCTCGTACTGGCGTCCATTCTTTTGCAACCGGCTCTAGCCTCGGTTGAACTAGAATCAATTCTAAGCCCAGAGTTCAACGTAAGTAATCCAAACTCAACGGTGAACTGGACGTTCCTAGACGACAATTCCACATTCTTGAAGCACGGTCACATCAAGCATTCAAAATATTCCATACCTACTACTATTCTCTTGGTCACAATATTTATGATAGTTATAATTGGCACTATAATAGGAAATGTGCTAGTTTGTGTTGCAGTACGTTTAGTTAGAAAATTAAGAAGGCCTAGTAATTACTTGATAGTATCGCTGGCAGTGAGCGACTTGTGTGTGGCCTGTATTGTTATGCCAGTAGCCACCGTCTATGATATTATGGGAACGTGGCCTTTTGGACCGGTTATATGCGACTTTTGGGTATCGAGTGACGTCCTTTCTTGCACTGCTAGTATCCTTAACTTGTGCATGATCTCCGTGGATCGCTACTATGCCATTACGAAGCCTCTGGAGTACGGTGTAAAGAGAACACCTCGAAGGATGCTATTTTGTGTTTTCATCGTTTGGATAAGTGCAGCTTTCATTTCCCTCCCGCCGGTCCTTATCCTAGGTAATGAGAAGACTGACACCTCCTGTTCTGTGTCACAGAATCAGGCGTACCAAATCTATGCAACTTTTGGTTCATTCTACATCCCACTGACTGTAATGATCGTGGTCTATTATAAAATATTTAGAGCTGCTAGGAAGATTGTAAAAGACGAGAAACGTGCTCAATCACACTTGGAGACGCACTGTTACTTGGAAATAAATGTGAAGAATGGCGGAGCCGCGGAAGCTAAGCTGCTGGGCAACCAGCCGGCTCAGCCTCCCCCGAGAGGATCTACAGCGAGTACGAATACAACGGTGAGCTTAGTCGTATAAATTGTTTAGTATTTCACTGACTTGTGTTTCGCTCTCAAGAGAAAATAAATATTGCAATAATAATATCATGTCTTGCTTTATATCAAAACTTTAATTAAGTAATGGCTGGTTATATTAATTTTAAAGTGATTTTAGAACTTGAATACATAAGCTCTGAAATAATTTTAAGCATAATCTAATCAAAATTTTGCATTTCAATAAATATTTAATACTCAGGTGTAGTAATTTCTATGAATAAGATACATCAGTTTGTTGACTTACTGAAATGTAATGAAATGTTTTTTTTTTGTTACAGTGTAGCGTAGATAAAACAGAGAGCACAATCGGGAGATGCTTTAGCGGCCAGAGAAAATCGAACGAGTCTCAGTGCCCAATGTTGCAACAACCAAAGACTCCAACAAAGCCTATCCATACTATAAATCGATCACCAACACAGCTAGTGCCTGGGAAGCTAGCAGTGAAGGAGAGACAAAGACAGCCTTCGGAGAGCAGTCAGAAAAACACAACGAACAGGATCCGTTCGTCGCTCTCGAACTTTGCTCATAAAAGCCATATCGCCAAAGACTTACTGCATCCGCAGAACGCTGTTCATCAGAAGAAACTGCGGTTTCAATTAGCCAAAGAACGCAAAGCGTCCACTACCCTCGGTATCATCATGTCAGCATTCGTTATCTGCTGGCTACCGTTCTTCGTGTTAGCTTTAATTAGACCATTTGTTAAAGAAGATGCGATCCCCGATGCGGTGAGTGCGCTTTTCCTCTGGCTGGGCTACCTAAACAGTTTACTCAACCCAGTCATATACGCGACTCTGAACCGAGACTTCAGAAAGCCGTTCCAAGAAATCCTGTTCTTCCGATGTGGCAATCTGAACCACATGATGCGTGAGGAGTTCTACCACAGTCAGTACGGTGACCCCGACCAACATTACTGTGTGAACAACACTACCAAAATGCACAATTACGAGGAGGGGGTGGAAATAGTTTCTGCCGTCGATAGGGAGGAAACGAGAGCTTCAGAGAGTTTTCTATGATTGTCAATGCCAGAGGTCGCTACCAGAGACCTAGATACTGTGATCTAATTAAGACTTTTTATAATAGTACCGCGGTCTAACAGTGTTGGTTTAATCGATTTCATTCGTTTTAATAACTTGTGTATTATAAAAGGCTGTTTCTACCCAACTAGTCGTTACTTACGTAATTGTACTCGAGGTTTCGTTTTGTGTAAAATTAATTGTAGTTGACCATTTTATATGTGCAAGCAGAAAGTGTGACATGAGTATTAGATTATAAAATAGTTGCTATTGTAAATATTTGTATTATCTGTGACGTTGAGTCGCGCCATTCTTGTTTTCTGTCAAATGTAAAATAATTGTACTAAATTATTCTATGCGATAATTTGTTGTATCAAAAACATTTTCTCTTTGCAAATATAAATGGACCTCAAGTTACTTGTACGATTTATTATTAAGTAGATAATTACGGTAAGTCACATGGCATATTACGTCACTTTTAATATAATAATAATAGGATGTGAAAGTACTCTTATTATTATTATTATTTATTAATTTTGGAATGACCAAAGAGGTATAAATATTAACTTAAACGTGAAGTTTTACAAGTATAAGATGTTGTGAATTTGATAAAAAATAAAAATAGAAATGTATCATAATATTGTTAAATAAATAAATAAATTATGTTTATGACATTAAATTAGTCAGAAGTATTAATCCATGTGATAGTAGATATAGAATTCTATTCTTTGTTAGGTTTCATAACATTTATATATATTTATTATTATTTATCCGATTAATTTCCGTTTTTAAAATATGTAATTAATAATATGTAAATATTAAGAAACATAGTATCTTACCGGACTACATGTGGTTAAATGATTACAAAAATAGGCACTGCCATATAAAATAGTAATAAAACAGTGTAATAAGTTGTAATAGACGTAGAAATACTATAGGATGTACGTAAAAATAATACATTTCGGTGTATTTTTCAACTGCTGGTCCTATCCTGTGTCATACTTAACTCTAAACTTTAAACATTAAAGTTCAAATTGCCTTGTAACTTCAAGAGATACTGTGGTTCGTTTCCTTCATCTAGGTATTAAGATTATCGATTCTATTCACCAGTGTGTTAATTTTTTATTATTCTTGTATTTATTTTGGTTTGAAAATAAATTAACTTAGAACAAAAGTCAGTGTTGTAAATATTGTTAATAAAACTAATGACATTACGAGTAAATAATAATAATAATTATTATTATTGTTAATAAGTGCATAATATATATAATAGATACATAAGTGAATATATAATATCGCAGTAACCGTGTGGGGAAACTACGCTTGGAAAAAAAATAATTTGACAGTTCAATTTAATGTTTTTAATTAATAAAGTTTACATACTAAAAACTTTCTTTTGTGTAGTTTCTTTCAAATGTGAATAAATATCGTGGTTGTTTATTAGGTGTATTTAATAAATTATTATAAATAAAATGATTGACCACAAAAATTTCTCAATACTTTTAGATGTATTTTGTAAATCTTGTAGCTAGAATTAATGCCGTATTCTGCCATCTTTTCTTCGATTTTTTGTTATTTTTAAATTATATTTCGTTAATTGTTTAACGTTTAAAAAAATGTATTTAAATTTCAGTATAAATATATTTATGTATTTTGCAAATTGTGATTTTTAATACCATTCAACATCAAAAAGCTGGAGTTAAGTGATTCGTGAAACTCAAAAGTAATTTGAACGAATTCATATTAATTTCAAACAATATTGTCTGTCTGTCTGGATGTCATTTAAAATTGTTATTTTCTATTTACTGCAACTAGATACCTATACATATTATAATATTCGAAACTTTATTTTACACCTATATAAAATTTTCTATGAGAATATAAAGCAATAAAATGTTATAAAAATTACACGATCGAAAATTGTCTGCTAGTATTATAAACGTGAAAGCTTAAATTTGAAAGGATGGATGGAGACATTTGTTACTATTTTAAGTTAAAAACTACGAAATAACAATAATAATAATTACCTGATAAAATGTGAATTCTATTATGACCCAATTAACTATCTTTTACGTGGAAAAATAGTATCTTAACTTTATCAGGCTTATAGTATGAAAGGAACCGTCACTGAGCAGTACATTGGAAATTAATATTTTATCCCAGCTGATCGTGCTACTTCGAGTTTGGATAGTCCTTGATGTCAATGAATACTTAGGTTATTAAAAAATTAGTAAGTTTTTCAAATAAAGAACAAGTAATTTTAGTTCTTAAATAGAGCAGCACTGACTTTCCCCTGCCTTCAATGTATGTATTTACATACATAGATTTAAAATAAATGTTTTCGTAGAAACACAAGAAATATGATTAAAATAATAATAAATAATAAAGGGATAATAAATAATGAAAGGTGATATTATCTTAATTGGAATTGGATATAATATTATTTATTACCTTGGTCGAAGTAAATTGTTACAACTTTCAACAATATAATAAAAAGTTCAAAAATTACAAAGTAAACACCCTTATATAAAATCTATTATAAATTATGTCACCGGTGACACCAATTTTTTTATTCAGTTGACATAATTTGCTATCACTGCCCTAGTTACTAAACTTCCTACTAATGAAGACGCTCTTTTAAATTGTTCAATGAACAAGATTTCTCATTACCAAATCTCTTTTACGAATATTCCAATTAGTTCAGCACTCAATTTGTTAAAATATTGTGTTGAAAATATGGCTAATTTCAGTCAGGTCAACAGGTCTGGTACCTAAAAAGAGAATCCCCGCAGGCGGGGTAGTTTTTAAGTAACTTGACTGGCTTGTTTTAAATTCAAAACAGTTTTTTAGCTAACTTATTGTTGCTCTTTTTTTGACATTTAGGCTAGTTCTGCTAAGAAGTAAGCAGCCGTAGCGCGCTGAACAAAGTTTGGTCCTACGAAAAAATCAGGCAACATCATTGTAAAAACACTTGTATATTCAAAAGAAAGCAGTTCAGATCGACATTATTATATACCTATACATAATATATGAATTCTTATTGTCTGTTTACGTACATTAAGGACCAGAAGGTTTTTATTTTCAAATTGATAAATAAAAATCAATTATATTCTAGAAAGATATCATGAATTACTTAACATCCAGCTTCCAATTACTATAGTTACCATAATTCCAAAGTTTATGTTTACCTCCATATCTGTACATACTAAAATGTTAACTTAAATAGAGCTCTTAAAGTACAAAGCAGTTATGTTTGTTCATTCAATATTTTTATTATTTGTGCTCTTTATTTATTTATCAAATGTATCTATTCTGTCAGTAATCTAATTTAAGGTAGCTTTCACAACTTCGAATGTTTTAACGTGTACATAAAATTTGTTCATTCGAGGCTGTAATGCTATCTTTCTAGTTTATGTAAACATTTGCGAATATTAGCATGTTTTATGTGTATAGAATGTAAAGATATAAATGGCTTCATTCTAATTTGTTTCTAAGACCCATGAAAAGCGTTTGATTAAAGCAATGGAGATAAATCTACAAAATTAATCATGGTTCGCAAAAGGTTTATTTGGTATGTAAAATATTCTAGAATTTTAAAACAAGTAAAAATAACCTGTATTTCACGTTTGGCGACAGTCATATTTTTAATAATGTGAATATCATTTTAGCAGGAAGGATTCCACAAGGATCTACTTTAGGTCCGATGCAGTTTTCTCTTAAAATATTTTCAGCTTTCAACTTTATTATTTTTTAAATGCACATAAAATTTGCTTATATTTACAATTGTAGTCATCTTTACTATTGACGTCGTGTAACATAATGTGACGATGAATATTATAAATATATAAAAAACTTTCATAGTAGTGAAACGAATGGAATTCTTATCTTTTGGCATTGTTGTATTTTTCTTATGTAGGGGTCCTAAAAGCGACGAAATAAAAATTAGATTCAATTTTGTTTTGTTTTATTTTTCCTTTTCTATAAATTACTAACGAACAAAAACTTTAGAAGTATTTAATCGTGATTATCTTTCAGAAACACAAGAAAAAGAACAGTAACTAACAGATAAAAACTTTTGTAAAGCCAATTAGGAATCATTAATCATTTTCATTTACCATAAAGGTATCTAAAATTACAGCTACGCCTTGTCCAATTAAAATTGATCATACGATTAGCTGAACTGTCAACTTTTAAAATAAGAAGATAAATATTTTTGGAATTAATATTACAATCGAAAACTAATGTTTGGCAATGACTTTTTGACCTTTATATTATAATCTGTTTAATATTCATAGGACTGAGTTCGTTGACCCTAGTCAGCTGCTTAGTTACTATTACAGAAATACATGTCGATACTTCGGGTAAGTACCTCAGCTTACCTGCCTACTAAAAATTCTTTACTCCTGCCATATTTTTTGTATACTTTGCTGAGGTAAATACAAAACTAATTATTATTTCTACGCATTAGAGACGATATCAATATCATAGCCTAAGTTTAAAAACTTCAATCAAGCTACATACGTAACTCCTGTTACTGCAACAGATTTTCGAATTTACAACGAAGTACAATAGTAAATACTCGCTTAAAACATCGTTAAAATATACATAATTATTTGTTGCTAAAAATTATTGAAGTAATTGTTTGAAATTGGGGCTTCAACTAACTCAGCCGGGGTTGCGGGGTAAGCGCTATAAGTCATCGCGGCCTTGGAGAAGGAACAGGCTTTTTAGTCAGTTAAAGTCTGACCTGACACTCCCTCCCACGAGGTGGGCGGGAGAAGTAATTTGATGATTTTCCTGCCACAAAAAAAGTAAGTAACACTACTGTTTACTTGATCGATGAGAGCCATCAATGGGTTGATTAGGTCCGATTTTCAAGACTGTTGCGAAAATTGTGTCCTGAAACTAGTCGACTGAAAACGGCGGCAGCTGAATTTCTGTACCTATCACACCTCCAAGAAATGAGAAGGAGAAGAAGAAACTTCTTAAAAGACAGACAACGCACCTTGAGTCCTCCTATCTAGTGCCGCAGGTTTCCAAGGGTGGAGCTTACCATCAGGTGATCTATCTACTCGTATAATATTGCTCGTATATGTATAATACTACGCTATAAAATTTTGTAATATTACCTAGATACTCGTAACTAAGGATCTTTGGCCCTCCCCTTCCAGGACCAACGCAAATAATTTTAACCAAAGTAAAAACGTCTAGAATCTTCGATCTATTATTAGACCCTGGCTCATTATACTAAAATGGCTGTCATTACATAAAAATGGCGACGCATCTTAGCTAAGTACGTCCAAAAATAATATTAGCGATGGATTTAATGACACTGATGAGTTTTACCTTGATTTTTTTTGAATCGCTCGACCTCCATGGTCGGATGTTGTTACAAAAATATTAAACTTAGACTTTTTAAAATAACAAATAATTTGATTATTTTAAGCTGTGATAATTTTTTCAGTTGTAGCAGCCACCAAAATGGCACTGGATTATCCAAATTCAAATTCTAAAGAAACGTGTTCGAAACATCTTCGAATAAAGAATATCGCCGATATCCTTTTAATAAACAAAACAAACACAAGGAATACGGATGCAAAATCTAACAAAACCGAATTATTTTCTCATTTTTCGAACAAATAAGTATTATGCTCGAATCTGCTCGTAAACACTCATGTTCATTCGAGCATTCTCATCTCGATAAACGGGTTTCGGTTTGTTTCGTATTAAGCAACAATTTTTCCTGTTTACTATGTAAAAGAAAATTAAATAACATTCTCAAAGAAAATCGGCGTTGAATATAATTTCGTTCGGATATTTCAAAACCTGTCCCGTAATGGACGGATTAAATTAATACTGCTGCCTCAAATTGCCTCTCAGAAATTTTCCCTTGAAAGCCGAAACCGAATTGGCTTTCAATTTTTTTTGCTGTTACTCGATAATCACGGCTATTTATTGTCACGAGAATTTTCGACTGTTATTTATATTGTTTCCAAGATATTTATAAAGGGTACGTGAAGTATTTAATTCAAATATGACTATTATTTTCAAAGATTAATAAGTCAACGAAAAGCGAAGAAGTTCAGATTTCTACTTTTCCATAAATACAGAAGCCGCGAAGCATCATGTCTCATCATCATCAGGCTGATTCCGTCCACTGCTGGATATGTCCAGCTTTCCCAATTACGCACCGCTGAGCTCGATTTGCACCTCTTCTCATCCAGCTACCACCAGCTACCCTGCGGATGTCGTCAGTCCGCCAAGCTGGAGGGAACCCTAAACTATGTTTGACAAGACTTGATCTTCACTCTAGAACACGACTCTACTACAATGGTCATAAGTTCTTCGACAAATGTGCCCTACCCACTACCACTTCAGTTTGCTAATCCTTTGGGCTATGTCGATAACTTTAGTTTTCTCTGCTCGTTTCGAATACGATCCTTCAGAAAGACTCCAAGCATAGCCCTTTCCATAGCTCACTGCTCGACTTTAAATTGGTGGATCAGTTGCACTATAAATGTCCACATCTCGGCTCCGTATGTCGTCACTGGCAGGACGCACTCATTGAAGACTTTGTCTTCAGGCTTT